GCCATGAAAGCCATCTGGGTGATCTTGGGCCAGTCACTCTCTTTCAGCCCATCCCACCTCACGGGGTTGTTATTGTGAGGAAGATAGGAGGAAGAAGGTGTTGGATGTGTTTGCCACTTTGAGTTATTTGTAAAAATAGTAAAGATGAAATACAAATAAATTAAATAAATCTCCTTTGATAATTTCCATTAATAAATTGTTTTGCTATTAGTAAATACATAAATAAATGCTACACTGAATTTACTGCCTGCAATATTCTATAATTCAATACTCTTGATTTTATAAGACCTGTTTTTCTTTAGATCTTTTTCACAATTAGAATACATATAGTGCGACTCTTTCCCTCCTTCCACCAACCCGTCCCATTCACAACAAATGAGTTATTATTGCAGTAAAGATTAATGTCAAATATCTTTGAGTCATTTCTATCACTGATAATTTCATAAATACTGTCATGTAGTTTTCTTGGCTGTGTATAGATGATACTTGCTATTGCCTTGTGTATTTTTTTCACTTCCCAGTCTAACATACAGCCCAAGAATTTCCTGGTGGCCTACAATTGAAGTACTAATTGATCTTACTTAACCTTATGACAGCTGCCAAGTTTGTCTTGTGTGCTAAATAAAGCCAGACAAGGAAGGGAAATAAAGGCAAAGAAATAAAAAGATGAGATCTGGATGAACATTTTTGTTTTCTATCCAAAATGTATCATTGTTAACTATGGACTTTCAAGACAAAGTATTTTTATATATAAAAGTAAGTGCTAATTACATGAGAATAATGTACTCAGATATTTCACATTTTATACCCAGAATATATAATGAATATATTTAGAAATGTGGTCCTTTATTTTAATTGTTTAAAATAAGAGATCAATGAATAAGTTACATGCCCCCAACTCTAGGAAAAATTACTTTATTTAAATATTATCTTCTGGCTATTTAATTATATAGTAAAACATTTGAGAGAGACGGGTTGATTATATACCATACATCACAAACAGAATAATTAGTTATCTGTTAAACCTATGTGATAATTATTTTGTCAAAATAAACCATTTTATAAGGATGCTAGCTCCCAGGAAAGACTGCTGATATTACTGGAGTTCAATATCTCTAAACACATTTTCTGAAGGTTAGCTGAAAAAGTCAAATGTTGACAAATGTAAGCTTCTAAAGAAAAAGAATCAGATTACTGCTATTCTGTTTTATTCTATTAAAATATGGGTATTTTTAAGTAGCCAGAAATGTTTAAAGTTGTTTCTTGGATATAGTGACTACATACATTAAGGGCCAAAACTTTTGTCAGAAGGAATATAAATATGATGTTGAACATAATTATAATATTTCAGAGCTAGACATTTGTATTTAGAAGATACTAATGAATAACCCATATACCTTTTCTGGCTTGCTTTACTCCACATTGCACATTGCAGGGACTGCATTTTTTGGCCATGTCAAACTATTAGGAGATATGGAACAGGAACAAACATTTTTTTAATGTTTTTTTGCAACCATGCTACATTTTAAATTTCAATTTGTTTCTGAAAGAGTAAGCAGAGTATTGTAAAGGTAGGACTAAAAGTTTTTTTCTCTTTCTTTGGGGATACATTATTTGAAGAACAAAAAATTATGAACAAAATGGGGAAAATCATGCCAGAAAATCAATGATTTTGCTTCTGAACTTTGGTACTATGATCTTTAGGTTCACTGTGGGTCACCAAAGGGTTGTCAATATTTTGTGTAGTCTTGTGTGTTCCTGAAACTTTGTTTCAGATCTCAGTTGATGTCTGGAAAATTACAGAAAAACTTGGTAGATTCTTCTGAATGTAAGATCAGAAATGCAGAGAATGTAAGCAGCAATCTGCCACAAACAGTTATTTTGCAGGTTAAGGATAAGAGAACAGAGTTGTCCTGCAGAAGATGAAAAGATTAACATGACTGGAATAATATTTTGAACTGGGATTTCTGGTCTTTTAGAAACAGCAAATATCATATGTGGTTAAATGTATGCTTTATAGCCATGTTTATCCATCTATAGGAATGGATATAAGAAACTTCACCTCAAAATATGAATGGTTAGTAAAGATCTCAACTGAGAAAGAAAACGTAAATAAATTTATTAAAATAAATCTCTACTATCTTATCAGATGTCACACCTAAAGTAAAGTAGACATTCAGGTGATCTATGCCAGAATTGGCCATTTCATATATTTATCATAAATTAAAATAAACTAAAGGAATTAATAAAATATTATTTCATTGTAATACACATATTCATGTCATCTAACCCTAACCCTATTCCTAACCTGATATATAGAATTTGTTAAATATATAAAACCATTAAGTAAATGTTTATATTAGATTTTTAAAATATCCCAATGAATTTGCAGATCAGGGTTCTTTAATAATCAGTATAATGGCACTTAATCACTGTTTTTATTTTTTAAATCAACTGTTGGACCTAGTAAAGCAGCAAAAGAAATAAATGCAGAAGAAAAATATATTTTCGCTAAAAGTGGATCCTTTTAAATCTAGCCAACAACAAGCAGAAAGACTGACAGCAGTTCTGACTGAACTGAAAAGCAATTCTTGTTCTTCTCTGAGTCATTTCATACATTCATAACAAGAATTTTGGAGTCAATTTATCAGTTGCTCATATAAGGAAGCTACACAGTATGGAATTACTACATTAACTATTATACATTCATCTTCAAATATAGATTGTAAATAATATCTTGTACGCAATATTCAGTGGACATATATAAAATCACCTCATGCTGTGCAATATAGTTTTCTTAATTAAATAGGTTTTATTTCTATCAGGATATAGAATTGCAGGCACAATCACTATTTAATCTGTAACGATAAGCATTACTGTAATGTATGAAAATTAAAATAAAGAATTGATTCAATACAAAAGAGGCTTCTGCTAATTATCTTGCAAATTCAATTAACCAAACTGAATGAATGATATGGGCAGTTGTTGCTTTTACAATAGTTCAAAGTTAGGATGACCATGGAAAGAGGATTTTATTTATTTTTATTTATTTATTTATAAAATTTATATCTTGTAAAGTATCCCCAGCCATTATAAATGATCATATGTCTCCATGGTCATATGACTAAATGTTGGGGGGGGGGTCAGGTTTACAGCTACTTATAGCATTCTGAACTCATGTGATATTCTTGATGTTTTTTGTTAGTTTTGAAAAAATTAGGCTATCTGCAATCCACTATAAGAAATACGTCCATAATAAGTAAACAAGTTGTGTTTTCTTAAATAAATAATTGAGAAACATCATAAGTATGGTATGGGAAGATGACATCTTGCAATCACAAGAAAAAATATCACTAAACAGGCACATATTTAAAGACATCATACAGTTAAAATTGCTATTGGTTTAAAATCAAAATTAAATTAAATTTTGAAATGAAAGCTTTTTTGTTATATAATCACTCTCATCATTTTTGTTAAAATTCTAAGCATCCAAATAAATTTTAGTGAACTGGTAAATGAATTTAAAAAAAGATTTCCAAAATTAATTAGAAATTTGATATATTTTGTAATATATACAAAAAGATTTTCAAAACTAATTATAAATGTAGAAAATTATGTGGGAATCACATTCTAGTTTAGGAACATTGTCATAGCAAAACTTTTTACTTTCTAGTTTATTTTTATGTATTGTTGGAATAAGTTGCCTTGTCAACTGATACAAAATTTCAAAACTGATTTGGAAGTGTTTTGGACCTCATGAAAACACAAGAGTTGTCAGCAATTCATTAAGGCAGCCTCTTTTAGACCGGCATTACTTTTTAAAAAAACTTTATTTTTTTAAAAAAACTATTTATTAAAGTCATAAGGTGATTCTTAAAACAATAAAATCTTTTCTTATACCTTGCACAGATGTCTGATAGCACTGGGCTCCTTAATGAATAGCAAATTCATTGTGAGATATTATGCTGTCACTCATGCAAACTACGAGCATTTCTTTCAATTCAATTGCAAAGTGTTCAAACTTCTATCTATCCATTTGAGGAGATTTATTACATTGCACTGTGTTAACCTTCTTCAGTACCAATTCTTCACATGCATGAGGTCTCATGGCTATCATAGGTAATCAGCTTGAAAAAAAATATTTTCTGCACCTCACAGGTGTCTAAATAGAGTGAAAATATTTCTTTATTATAAATTTTCACTAGAGTTGCCACAACCTTGTACATTTTGTTCAGTGTGGCATCTCTATGGGACAAATGTGCTAAAGGAGCTGAAAGATTCAGAAAAATAAAGTCTCTGAAAATATCCATTGTAATCTCAGATCACTTCCACATGCATGGGCTGGGCCATTCCAGGATCAGTTCTGCAGGCTAGAAGTTACGCTGCTTTTGAAGATCCTGGAGACTGTTCTGACATTGAACAGCTGAGCTTCCAATTCAGCTGCTGCTTCAAATTTAAAATTCTGTAAACTTTCTGATCGAGAAGTTGAAGGAATCTTCAGAACTGCTTCTCTAAATTGCCTTGTATGGTGAATACCTTTTAAACTTCCCAAACAAATATTATTTATCTTAGTTGAGATAGGTATTTTGAAAAACTTGAAGGAAAGAAAAAATAATGGTGGAAGGCTACAATTTGGTACAAACAAGAATAATTTAATGTTCAACCCTAGCCTCCAATTTAGTGGTAGAGTTTTATTTTCTCTAGTTATTTTTTCTTAACATTCATTAATTGAAATGATCCTGGTTAATGTACTTCAACAACATCCAATAGAGTAGTTACTCGGTCATAATTCATGATTTACTTAAGATTAGATACTGTTATCTGCAGTAGAAAACTGTTCAGTCTGTCCTCCCCAAACCTGGGGCTCTTGAGAATTCTGAACTTTAAGACCTATAAATTTCAGGTTGGTAAATGAAGGTTTAGACTCTACTGTATTGATACATTCTTCATGTAACACTATGGAAGAAATTTATAATTATAATAAAAGCTAATTTATGTACCTGGTCAAGCTTCCAGTGAAATTCTGCAGGACGGAAGGTATCAGCTTGGTCAAAATCTTTCCGTAACAAAAATACTAGTCGACAATTATGCACATAAAGTGCATAATGGTGTCGATTCATTTCTAAAACAAAATAAAAAGACCAAGATAAGAAATATATAGGCATGTGTAATGATTGACTAAAATCATTACACATCATTAATTATAAAATCATTAATATACAATTAATTTATTTGCACCTAAATTATTACAAATCAATACTTGATTCACTGCAAAAAAAGATCTTGAGTCTAATTCTTGTAAGAGTTTGTTGTTTTTCAATATCTGCTTGTATTGAACATTTAAATTTGAAAGAAGAATGAAGGAACTACAGATTTTGAGTTACCTGTTTTATCAGAATTACACAAAATAGTTTCTTTTTCTGCTCTTAATCCTGGACTTGGGCCATGTTTCATCCACATGGTGATGGTAAAGTGATCAGTTAGATTCTTTGGTACTATTCCATCAGGAATTTTGGCACCTTGCTTTCCATCAAATTTAAAAATCATATCATTGCTATCCATCAGAAGACCAGCTGTCCAGTTATTTGCAGCACTGTGTGTTGGTAATAGGTCAATGGCACCTGAAGATGCTCCTGTGGATGACATACAATGAAGAGATTGATGAGACACTAATGAGAAAGCTGTTATGTAAATTCAGTGTATGAAAGCCAGGATCACCCTTCATTGCCTCATTTTAATGATAACATACTTTTTTTTTTTTTTTGCATTTAATCTTCCCAAGCTTGATTCTCGTCCATTTAAAGAGTATTAGTGGCAACAGCAGGATTAAGTAAATTTGTAGTTAGCCACTGCTTGGTCAGAATGATAAGAGGCTATGCTAGATAGACCAGTAGCCCTTTAAATTAAAATTTATAAATTTTAATTTATAAAAAGAACTTTGATCTATATAATCATTGTATTCATATTGTTAACATGTGGATAATGGCTATTTGTCAACCTAGTAATCAATAATTTTTTCCTTCAAACTTTTTAAATTACTTTAAAAAATCTAAAGAGTCTTCCCATCATTCTTGCAGAACTCCAGTAAAAGAATTGCATTAATTAGTTAACAAGCTGGATATATGGTCATCTGTATCCTTCTGCATAAATAAATGACCTATTTTCCCTGATATAGAGATGTTGAAATTTCTACTCATAAAAATGCAGCAAAGATTTCAAAATAAGATTTTTTGCTGACTTGGTACCAGCAAATTCTTTTTTTTTTCAGAATATTGTTTATTTGAATTATATATGCACTTATTACTGACTTTAGGACTGCTAATTGCAGACATGTGATCCTTGCCCCATATAATCGAATATTAACAGAAAAGAAATGTGTCTTTTAGTTTCTACATAAACACCAGCACTGTCACTACCAGCTCATAAACACCCAGAATTATACATAAATTAATATGTACCACATAATTTCTGCAGAGATTTCTCCGAATATGTTTCGCGATCACAGCCTTTTCCAATATAGTTGGTCTGAAGCTCAACAGTGGCGTGGATAGAAGAAACTGGTCCATCACAAGTCTCCAGGTGAATAATGGGAAATAAAGGTATGCTTCCAGAACCAGGTTTGTATTCAATATGCCTTTTCCAGTCTAAAAATAGAAATATTATTACACACTACAACATGGCCAATAATATAACATGTTTTATATCTCTGTAGACATTTGTTTTGTATTTTGTGCACTTTTAGAAACAGAAGTGTGAACAGAAGCTTGCGTTTTTTAAAAAACAAATACCTAGACAGAAGTGAAATTTAAAAATATGTCATTAAAAAAAATGAAATGCAATTGAAGATTTCTTTGTTCTCAGCTGCGTATACAATAAAGAACTTAAGTCAAAATTGTTGGGAAGCTGTTCAAAAGCTACCAAAATAAGATTTTATAATAAAGAAATTTGTTTTAGTTCCATTCTACTCAAAGGGAGTACACACTGAAATCATACATACTGTACATTTTCAATTTGTTCAGATGTTTGGAATTACCACATTTCTATAATAACTTCCATTTTCCAAGCAATCATTCATCTGAATGCATGCAGGAGATAAGCTGGGCTAGCTTTTGTCTTGCAGACATTTGTATTGAATGCTGAAATATTACAGGAAAACCTTCAATCATCTGGATGATAGCTGCAGGGAATTAAAGTTAAGTTTAGATGATGCTTGAATGTGGCTTTACATTGCTTTCATATTCTTTAGATTCTAGCTCAGATCTTATTTTTCCCCATCAGGCATCTGTCTTATCCTGTGAGCCTACAAACCTTGCTGCAAACTAGCTGCATAGATAGGTTTTAATAAACTTCCTTGTGCATTGAAGGTATATATGAGGATAGTTCATGCTTGTTGATAAAATTTTCCTTGGCCAGGAACTCTTAGTGTATTCCAGGAAAGAAAATCCTGATTCCTCTAAGATTATATCCACCTGTAGAATGCTCTACAAATACAGAAGCAGGACTACTTTGTGTCCTTGCTTATGAAATGGCAAACACATACTGTACATACTCTAAAGAAACTAATAAATGCATTTATATTTCAGTGAACTTCAAGTGAACTTTACTTATGTATAACTATGCATATTCGTGTATTACTAATTCAGTCCTTGCCTCCATTCTTTTGACCAAGACCTGTTATCTTCCTCATTGCAAAAATTTAAGCCACACTGTTCTTATTAAAGTATGCAAATAGACTAGCTATAAATTTACCAAAGTCATTTTATATTAATAACTCTTTTGGTTCTGTAATATTCTGAGGGATATAAACATTTTTAACAGTTTGATGATTCTGATTGTCCTCCCCTACCCACAAAAATTCTAATACAGACATGGATGAAGTAGACTCAGAAACACTTGCACAATGGGTCAAATATAGTGATTTGCAATAAGAGTCACTGCTATAAGATGAATGATATCACTCAATGCGCTTGATCTAAAGATATGTTTAGCTAGATTTTTCCAATGCTGTGGATTTGTTCATATATTTATGTATAATGGAAGGATACAAGATAAAGAGTCATGCATTTCTATATTTTTTAAAATTCTTACAGAGTTTTTAAATTTATGTCATAATACATTGCCAAACACATTAATGTAATACACATTACTGTTTATTAATATTTCTCTCCCTTCTTTCCTCTAAGAAAAAATTATACATTCCTACATTAATATAGGATAATATGGTTCAGTGTGCCACGTGAAGAAGTGATGACAGCAGTTCAGAATTTCCCAGAATAAAATAGATCCTATGATTTGTCATAAATTTCAACATGTTACAGTTTTATTTGCAACCTGTAAACTTAACTCTATTTAAGCTCAGTGCAGAGTAGAACATTAATACCTTTACAGACCTTGGACAAAAGCAATCAGGCCATGTTGTTTCAAAGAAAGTCCTCTAAGGAATATTCTACTTTAATCAGGATGACTGAATTACAATTACATGATTTCAAATTGAGACTCAATCATAAAGGGCTCCTACTTTTAACAATACTGCCAGCTTTTACCCAAATATACATTTGCAAATACATATTAGAGACTTTTCATACTGAATTGTAGTAATCACTAAAATTAATGATTCAAAACAACAATCACTATTAAAATTCCTATTTCCCCAGTGAATTTTTACAACGATAACCCTTAATTGTCAGAGACACTTAGGTGTTGCACTCATTCTTTAAAGTAACAGTCAACTTAAATTATAATTAGTATACTCAGTCTTATGCAAGATTTTCAAGACAGAACAAGTTGCTAATATGCAAATTTTGTCAATGCTATATTTTGTTTTAGTAGTACCTTAATTCTATTTTAAAACATTTGCTGAACTAGCACTCAGCAAAATCTATGAAAATAATATTCTTTCCTTTAAATGATCCAAAGTGGAATTGTTTTTGATTTTGCAATAAAGATGCTTAGAAAATGTTTTCCCCCTTTTCATTGTAATCCTAGATTGGGTTGGGCCACTTATTACAATATAGAGAAAAATAAAAGGCCATTCTTCAATTGCTCTAAATGGGCAGAAAACTAAGATAATAAATCAATGCATACTGTAGGTCAGGACATTCTAGGACAGAGATCAGCTAGCATCTTAAAAGATCAGTAATTAGGAAACCATCACATGCTAGTATCTGCTCCAATGAGAGAGATACAATTGCTACTAAATGAACTTTTTCTTTCTTGGCCTCTGCTCACTGGACATAGAATTTATATTTCATAATACTATCATTTTTGTGAGTAAATTTAACATTTTTGTGAAGTGAAAGCAGAACTAGGCATGAATATAAAGTGGTTGGGTGTGTGATGGATATGGGCTTATTTATTAATAAATTTATAAGACTGCCCATCTCACTATAGAAACAATGTATAGCTATGGAAATTAAAATTGAACATAAACAGACCAATAACAATAACATTAAAAGTCAATAATAATGTCAATTAAAATTCAAAGAAAATGTCCCAAAGCACTGAATGACATAACAAGCACTACTATGCACCCATTTCACAATTTCCCCAGTTCCCACTATACCTTAACTAGCCAGGAAGGACATGGATCTCATTCACAGATAGATGAGCTTAATACTTCAAGAGACCTGCCTATATTTCTTCAAGCGCAACAGGATTAAATTTCATATGGAATTTTGTGGGGAAAGTTCTTTTTTTATTTTTAAAATCTTGTTAAGACTTCTTTCAGCATTTATACTACAAGATTTCCCACCTCAACATGATAGGAAAACCTGCTCATATTTCTGGCACTTGTCGTTAGAAGAATTGAAAAAGGTGGGGCTATAAGACCTGTTCTGAATAAGAAAGGGTTGAAACTGTCAAAGAACACTCCAGAGAACGGCACTGTTTCCCCGAGAATAAAGAAAAAAAAATGTGAATCCCTGCAGATACTCCAACCAATCTAATGACAATTTTCTGTCCTAAGGGTACCAACATTTAGAAAATGATAGTATTTCTCTATATTTTTTGCAAAGCTATTTCATAGTTTATGTGAGTGTATAGATGTTATTATCTACATATATATTCATGTAGGCTGGTAGAAGCAAAGGTTTATTTTAAAAAAAAGCTGCCTAAGCTTGATCTGAGTCAGATCAGACATTTTTCCAAGATTGATCAGACAACAACAAACACTGCACAGTTCAATGGCTATGAAGGCTTTTAGATGTACTTTCTGTCATGATTCATAGATTGTGTTATCCTCTGTGATTTGGGACAATATGCAAAGAAGCAAGATTTATTATGACAGTCCTAAATCAACACAGATATTTTGATATGAGAAAATTTATGAAAATGTTTCTTCCACAAACTTCCTTTTAATATATTTGCCTTTATTTACTTATTTAAAAATTAAAAAATAAAGTCAGATTGTTAATTGAAATTGTGTAATTTTTATATAAAACTTTTTATATAAACCTGTTTAAAATTCTGTACCCAATGAGAAGATTGAATTAAACATTATCAATCTGCATACCAGTGAGTCAAGAAAGTTGTAACATCTGAGATTAGGAAGGACAAATTACTAGTCCCAAATTATATTAATTCTGCCAACATTTACAATAAAAGTTGAAAGTTCACTTTGAAAAAAAAAGATCTCACTCTCAAGGACAAGCACTTTTGACTTTTGTAGCCTTAAGACTTACATATAATATATGTATTCTTATGTTGTATATCATCAGCAAATGCTAGCCAGAAAAACCTTACACATTAATTCACAAATTGGAATATGGAAAAGAAATATGCCATATTTATATTTCTGTTCAAGATGATACAATTATTGCTCTCTATAAAAAATCTTTTTAATCACCTGGGAACATTGGAAAGGAATGTGACCTAAATATGTGAGATACTTTTATATTACCTTTGCATTGATCTCAATGGATCATTAAATAGGTCAAGCTTGATACTTAATCAGTCACAAAGACAAATGCTAAAAATAACTTGGCTGTTATTGCATGCTATATACAAAACATAAAACATGCCTAATTATTCTTTCGTTTGAAAAGGATAAATTTACATGATAAAACAATTTATTACCTGTATTTTGAATCTAAATATAAATCTGATCCCATGGGCTGAATTAAAACATCATAAGGCTCTGTTCAACCTACCAACTCAACTTTCAAGTTTCAGCCCTAATTGTAGATACTAATGGGATTACTCTTTGGATATATTTTCAAATTACTGAAGCTTGGCATGGATGCCAGTGCTACTACAATGGAAAAGTTAGAATTTTAAGTGACTCTTTTGCTGAGCAGGACACAGAGATTCTGTTCCAAATCTCTGGTGAGAACACACCCATTTTTAAGGCATTATTATTATTATTATTATTATTATTATTATTATTATTTATTGGTTAATCTTTAGTGAGATTCACAGCCTTTGAGGCTGGTTAATAGCTCAGCAGCTCGAGTCCTAACCAAGGACCTAGGAACTGTTAAGGTATCGTCGGAGGATGTAAGCTGTTCCGAGTAAGGTGGTTTTTTGTAGAGTCAAAATGTTCAAGTCCGGCAGATTTAGAATTTCTAAATAGCGGGGTAGCCCTTTGGGTATTGTTCCGAGGGCTCCAATTACAATCGGGACAACACACGATTTCTTTTTCCACAGTCGCTCAACTTCAATTTGTAAGTCCCGGTACTTTGTGATTTTTTCTTGCTGCTTATCTTCAATTCGTGCATCACCAGGTATTGCAATGTCAATGAACCATACTTTTTTCTTTTCAACTATTGTTATGTCAGGTGTGTTGTTGTTGTTGTTGTTGTTGTTGTTATTATTATTATTATTATTATTATTATTATTATTATTATTATTATTTGGGCTAGTGTCAGCCCATTGTATTGGCCTTATTACTATTCTGAACCTACTCACTGCTCATTTATGAAAGTCAGAAACAACTGAAAAATGTTCACCAAGCTTCTGTATACATAGCTTTAGCCATGACACTAGTAATGAGGGTAAAACAGCAGTAGTGACAATCTTAAGCACCATGGTTGTTGGTTTTATTGGTTTTATTAACACCATTGGTGATCACTTTTACTGCTGATGGCAGGTGTTTGATTATACTGCAGCTGATCAGTTAATTATGATTATTTATTTAGAGAAAACAGCAATCTTAACTGACTGTGATTGAAACCAAAGAGCCAAACAGGGTTGGGAAGAATTATAAGGAAATTCTATGACTATAGGCTAGATCAGAGGTGTCAAACTGGCAGCCTGTGGGCCAGATGCATCATGCACAGGCCACGCCCACCCCAGCTCCACAAAGGGGAAAAAGGTCACAAAATATCATATGAGGCAACATGACGCAGCGAGTTTGATATCTGAGGTTAGATGGGCATTTTTTAAAAATCAGAAAAAAAATTGGCAAACTATGATCATATTCTTGAGAGGCTACATGAATATGTCCAGAAATAATCAGAAAGCTTTAACTGACAGGAAGCTTTTACTTTATCTAAATTTTTAATGACAGTTCATACTGTTCTTATTTACTATCCTTAAAATTGTATAGACTTTGTAAATTTATAATAGTAGTGCTAATAGATCCAGGCATTTGAGGTATATTTCTTTGCTCAATTGCATTGAATTGTTGCTTCAACTATTGAATTCCAATTGTGTCCCAACTTTTCTGCAGCAGCAATGGGCTAATTGTGTCAGATGATATATTGATACACTGACACTACAAGGACCAACCACAACAGTATTGTCAATATAGTATTGTCTGACTTATTCCCCACTTTCAGCATACATGTTTTGAATAGGACTGAGACATGAAGAAAACCAACTAATAGTTAGTAAATTACTGTAGATGTTGAATGAAAACTAGTAATGAAGACATATACAAGGAGCCAAGCATTTTTTACTAATGGCTTAATTTAGGCAACTTCATAATTTTTAAAGAATATTAAATTATAACCAGCATTGACCAAATAAATTGTATACTCTATTTTTTAAAAGCTAAAAACTAAATTATTATTAAGCTTTTGTTATTTTAATTTCTTTATTCTTTAATTCTTCTTTATTTCCAGTAAAAAATGTATAATTAAATTAACACTTACATTTAATAATGATATACAATTATTACCTTGCCATCCAGGTTTACACACAGGCTTAACTTCAACACGTACCAGGACATCTTCAGTTGCACGTTTCTGCCCACAGTCAAAAGCTGTTACCATTATTTCATACTGATGGTCTTTGTCATAACTGAGCTTTTCAGTATTTCTGATATTCCCTGTAGGTATAACACAGAACAATAAAAAGCTATTATTTCATTGCCAATTTACTGTACTGGTGCAATTTACTATAATGAAACCTATAATAATTGCCAGTAGTATACAAAATAATTTCTATATAAAAGGAAATAGGGACAAAAAGCTAGAAGAAAGACTGAACTTCATGGGACCTTTTCTTAAATTGTACTTTTTATTTTCTTTTTCTCAATGTTCTCCAGAACATTACAATCAAACTATCATCTTATACATGGTGGGACCTGACTCTTCACATTAAGTTTATCAGACACAGAGAAAATAGCAAAGTATTACAAGTATAGTTTGAAATACAAAACATACTGAATATAGCACTTGTGGCCAAAATATGTACTACTCTTTGCATTAAGGTCACATCTCTAGACCAATGCAACATGAAAGAATATGTATAGATACAATCTCTCTTTGATAAATTAACAAGCCACATAGCACGTTCAGCAAATTTAATTTAGTCATAATTTCAATAATTCTGTTCTTCCATAATTGCCTCGTGTCTGGGAGAATTTATCATGTTAAAATTTTCTCTTACAATACCAATAGTAATAGCATTTAGACTTATATTCTGCTCCACAGCACTTTACAGCACTCTCTGAGTCAGGGGTGGGTTCTACTTACCTTTACTACCAGTTTGCAACGGGGCTGCATGCATGCTTCTGATGACGTCCAGGTCGGTGGGCAGAGCCTCCCGCCGGTTTTACTACCGGTTCTTGCAAACTAGTCTGAACCGAGGGCAACCCACTACTGCTCTGAGTGCTTTACAGTATCAGCACATTGCTCCTAACAATCTGGGTCTTCATTTTACCGATCTCAGAAGGATGGAAGGTTGAGTCAATCTCGTTTAATATTGTTAATATTTTAAACTAGTTTAGTTTAATATTAGTTTAATATTTTATATCCTGCTATAACGTCTTGGGGGCACTCAAGCAAAAATATATATATATCATGAAACAAAATTGCACTATGTCCATTGGTTACTGGCTAGTTGACATATTTTGCTCCACATGAAGTCTCTGTCAGCATTTGTCAAGAGTAAACACATTAAAAAAAATATGTCTCTTTATATATTTACTTTCTAATTTTGTTTTCTTAATTAAGCTCTCTAAAACTTCCCTACTTTGGCGAACAAAGTCCCATATGCATATATCTGATCCTTAATGTATCAATCTCTAATTTTGATTCCAGATATCCTTCCTTTCTTTTTTACTATATTGGTTATTTCCGTTTCCTTTCCATTATTAAACTTTCCATTTGATTAACTGAATTTATTCTTAATCATCCTCTTTTTCTCATTTTTCTTATATATGACTCTGCTTTTCTTTTAAGATAGCAACTATTTAACTAACTACTTGCAATCTATCATTTCATCTGTCTTCAGGTCAATTTTGACTGCCAAGACTGCTTGAATAAGTCCATGGCAAAAAACAACAACAGCTTTTTAGGTAATTCTAATATTTCAATACCAACAGTCTAATATATGGAAATTAGACTGCCACTATCCCTCTTAGCCTTTCATAAGGCCTCAACCAGTCCTCAACCTTTCATAAAGCCTCAACCAGGCTATGTTCCTATGCTTGCAGTGCTAAGTGTGCCAAGGATCTCATTTCTGACTGTCTTGCTAGCTGGCCAAGTATCTTGCTCCTATGTATATTTAAACTGGATGTTTTAGTGGTTTTACCGCTTTAAAATATTTTAGCATTTTTAATTTTAATATTTCTTTTAAATTGTCGGTCACCTGGAGACATTGACTGAGAAAGCTATAGAAATTGAATAAATAAATAACTAATACATATAATATGTTTACATAAATACAAAATATTTTTTACAGACTTTTAAGTTCACTTTTTTAATATTTTTCTATTTTGGAACTACATCAATTGATTGAAAATAGTTCTTTTCCTAACTGAAGAAAAAAAAAAAGATCCAGACTTGTTTATATTTGAAATCCCAGTTCTCTGATTTCAGAACTAGTTTGTTCAATTGAAGAATTAAGTTTTAAGAGGAAATGTATTGTCCTATGTTCGTATATAAATGATGGTCACAGTCCATAATAATGATATATTCCATGCACCCTCGGTAAGCAGTCCCTAGCTATGTACTTAATTTCAAACTTAGTCTATAAGGTTTCATTCCAAATCTCATTCCATCAACTTTGTACTGACTCCAGCCAGCTTGAAAACAGCCTCCAAGAGAACAATATAGGAAACTAGCTCGCTCTAGTGACAGCTAAATAGCTAACAACTTACTTCACCCTCCAAGGATGGCAGTCATTCTAATCATTAAAAGAAATCTCTGTACAGTTGGCCTATATTATAACCACAGTCCCAAGTAACACACTGCTTTTAATGAATAAACTCCTGATGATAACATAAATCTTAATATCCCCTAAAGCTAAATAAAAAGTTGCAACTGCTAACATACATGCTTTAGAAGATTGGTTTCTAAACAGCCTTTTAATCATTCATGAAAGATCACCAGAGCTACAAAATACCTACAAAGAAAAGAAATAAATATTTCCAATGAGATCTCTAGCTTCATGGAGTTCAAATATAAGTGTGGAGACTGCAAACTATAAAGGACTATTCTTTTCTTTTAAATGTTGGGCACTGTTCTGTATTCATTATCTTATTGCTCACAAATAAGATTACAGTAATCAAAGCTAAGAAATTGCAGCAAAAGACAGTTCCATATAGAAATATTGATCTATAGTTATATTATGATATGTGATATTAAACTAATATTTTATATCCTGCTACAACGTCTTGGGGGCACTAAGCAAAAAAAATATATCATGAAACAAAATTGCACTATGTCCATTGGTTACTGGCTAGTTGACATATTTTGCTCCACATGAAGTCTCTGTAGGCACTTGTCAAGAGTAAACACATTGTATAAGTAAGTCGGGATGTAACCAAAGTGTGGGTACTAAGTTTGACTGGCTCAAGAATGGATACTGCTTGCAAAAGAGGTCTTATTATACAACCATTATAAACCAGAAATCAAGATATATGTGGAATCAAGGAGAATGCCCAGATTACAGTTGTTCTGTAAAGTAGTAGTGCAGCTTCAATTGCTTAGGGCCAATCCTAGACCTGACTACAGTATAAATGTGAAATACGACTCAGAGGACGTTGAAATAATATATTGTTCTCCATCTTCTGTACAGCAAAATTGGTCAGTGTTTGTGTGGAAGATCCAACAGATTCCTAACAAACCTAGCAGACAACTTTGTTTCCCAAAAAGTAGAGAAGGGAAAAAGGGAACAAGGGGATCAGCCATATTGGACTTAATTCTCACTAACAGAGATGAAAAGATAGAAGGTGTTGAAGCTACAGGAACCGTGGGGGCAAGTGATCATGCAATATTGAAATTCAACATTATGCAAACACAAGTAGTAAAACAAAGTCAAACCAGAGTCTTGGACTTTAAGAGAGCTAATTTCAATAAACATAGAGAGAACTTGGGAAGGATTCCATGGATAAGAATCCTCAAGAGGAAAATAACTCAAGAAGCTTGGGAAATTTTAAAAAGTGAGATTCTAAAAGCCCAGTCTAGCACAATACCTGTTCATAATCTGAGCATTTATATTCCAGAAAATAGAAAGAATATATAAATATTGTCCAGAATTAATTCTGAGCAAGCATGATAACAAAGATAAAATATTTGCATTGCTCAAAAAAAGCAAGCTTGAAAATTAAAAACTACAGCTCCTTAAATGATCTAGAAGTTACTGTATGCTGTATGAGCCTTTGTTTTAGAACATTTTCAACAAAGAACTAGGCTAATAGTTCTTTATTACATGATTTAAATTTATATTGAATGTCTTTTTTCATAGAAATATGCAAAGTATCAGTCTTTCAATCAAGCTATTGAAATGTGAACAGGGCCAATATGAATAACTGTAGAGCACCTAGTGTAGTAAATGATAGTAGCTACATTATATATCACATGTAAAGGGCATCAAGATGTTTTTACATAACTGTATTATTACTGTGACATTATTTTAATGTCATTGAATACATAGTTTCTAACTGCCATCTGAATTTTCACTAGTCCTAACTTTTTCCCATTATCTCTGACTCTTAGTTATGCACTTTGAAAAAGCAGTTCAGATAGAGGTAGGGGTCAGTGTCAAATGGGGAATTGCTTCCACTAAAGCAGTACAACATAAAATGGCTTCTAAGAGGAAAAAAAAGGCTCTGCACTCATTTTCAATTTATAATTTGGTAACCCACAGATGGAATTTCAGAAATAAAAATCCTCACTATTTCTCGCACCCTGGAAATAATTTTACATGAATGTATGTTATTGAAAAACTAAATAAATGTATCCAGTCAAGATATAATAATTTAAACAAAGAATGTATCCAATAATATATTAATGGGAAAAAAATAAGGTTGACATACAACCTAGGGAAAAGACATCTGGATTTCTTTAAAAAAAACCCCAATTATTCTATATTTGTCTCTCCAAACTTTAAACTCACTGAAAAACAACAACAAATGAATTCAGTTACTGTAACTAAAATCAGGAATATTGGGAATTAGGTATGTGTAAACTAGATCTCTCATAGCTGAGGTTCTACTAAAGTTTTAAAATAAAAACATCTAAAATGATTTAAATCCTATAACATGTTGGCATTATTAATAAATTATTAATAATATGAAACATCAGAATACTTAAATGTTTTCAATATACTGAGACTCTATGAAAATCTTGTAAGATGTTAATTATTTTAATTTTTTTTTTTTTTGCAAAAAAATATTTTTTTCACTATTTCATTAAATTGAGTCTGGTGCCTGAAAAGAATGGTTCCTCCTTGCTTTTTAATTTAAAATTTAAAATTAATTTTCTCTAAGAAGGTATTCTTATTGAATCCTCTAGGTTATTTTAAAAAACAAAAATAGTTCTTAATACTAAACAATCATCCAGTAGATACTCAGAATGAATAGTAGAATCTGAATAATGTTGTATTGATTCTAAACTGGATTGTCTTAAGTGAATTGCAATTGGTTGACAAATATGGTAAATCAACTGAAGCCAATTCTTTTTTCAAGATAAAATTGGAAAATTAGAAGCCACCATAACACCAACTTTGATAGAAAAATAAATGCTTTCTAGAAAGATATCTCTTAGGATATAGTCGAAAAAATGCATTATGTGTCAAATGTCAAGCACTTACCATTCCTGTCAATGGCAAATGGAACATCAGTTGTGACAATTTCATAATTGCATATCTGGCTGTATTGAGGAGAACAATCTTCATCCATGGCTTCTACCTGTAATACACTATCGTAGATCTTTCCTTCTGTCACTGTAGCTTTATAAGATGCTTCTTTAAAAGCAGGTGCAAATTCATTAGCATCTTTTACTTGGATATGGACCACGGCTCTAAAAAGAAAAACTATTATTCTCAATTTCTACTTATTTTCTAAATCCACTGTAGCATGGATAGTTGCATTTTATGCTAAAATTTTATAAACAATTGTTGTTAAAAATAATACAATCTCTATATGAAAAATGGGTAGACAATATTTAAGTTTGAAGACCTGCCAATAGTTAAAAGAATTAAAATATGTATTTTAATGAACTACTTATTTAAACTAATTTTTGGGTTAACTTCACTTTTTACTGCACTTCTCTATTATTTTATTTGCTTTTATGTGGATGTTAAATATTGTAATTCTTACAATATTATTCTGAGATTGCCACGTATACTGAATATAACCAACACTTTAAATGTTCATATTGTTAAATCAACAAACATTTGTCTTTTTTCATTTAGAATATGATTAGAAATTACTAAGAATCAAGTATCAAAATAGAAAATCAGTTTACATTATGATCTATATTACAAATTACACACAAAAAAATGAAAGGAAATCAAAATAATCTGGGACATCTAAACAAAGTGATAACTTTGTAACAACAAAGTAAATAATAATTTCAAAAAACCATTGATCATTTACTAATAGGTAAAAGAGAGTATACAGCTATGATGGCGAACCTATGGCATGGGTGCCAGAGGTGGCACGCAAGCCATCTCTGTGGGCATGCGCGCAATTGCCAGTTGCTCTTCTGGTTTCTGGCACGCACATGCGTGCCAGTCAGCTGGTCTTTGCAGGCTCTGGCATGCCAGAAAATGGCCTGAAGATGGCTATTTTCATGCCATTTGATGGCATGAAAATGGCCTGAAGATGGCTAAAAAAACTGGCCCAAAATAGCCTGAAAACAGCCTGGAAACAGCCCAGAAAACGGCCCCCAAAACAATTTGAAAATGCCCCCCAAAATGGCCAAAAACACCCAAAAAACAGGCATGCACACACCGGCCAGCTGGTCTTCGGATTTCTGGCACGGCCACACGCACGTGCATGCACATGCGGTCTGGTTTGGGCATTCAGTGCCAAAAGAGATTCACCATCACTGGTATATAGCTATTACAATTGCAGACATTAGTCTGTTTAAAATAATTGCTATTCTAGGTAAATGTACTATTAAAGAAGCCAGTTTTACTTGGTTAGAGAGCAAGAAAAAAATTAACATACAATCCTATGAAAAAGAATTTTGTTTTAATTTCTTCTTTAACAACATTGATGAACATTAGAAGGATCTATTCAGCCTGAATTGTAAGTATACACCCGAAAGCCCATACTCCTGGTTGTCACTCACTTGTGAGATTTTTTCCAGTTTGTTCCACTAGGCTCTGTGCCACAGTCATATGCCTGAATGATAAATGTGTACTCCTTCTGCAATTCACAGTCAATTGGACTTCTTGCTCGAAGCTGACCTTCTCCAGATGTCTTGTTTAGGACTACAGCTTCAAAGGGCATTTCTTGTCCATGGATTTTAAAAGCACAGATTTCACCTATAAAGAAATTAAAAAAAAGAAAAGAAATCCAGAAAAATTATATGGACATTGTGCAAGCAGTTTATAACCCATTGTTTGAAACATTTTGGTATTTATAACATTCTTATGTTTCAAAAACAATACTAGCAGTTTTCTGAATACAATTATTAAGAAATGTTATCAACTGACTCATCATGATTAATATACAAACTAAAGTTGTAATTTAAAAATAATTTTAATTTTCTTTCTTTAAATTTCTCTAAAAAAGCAGAATCCTAAACATATGTGTATGTATATTCAGTGTACATACATATTCAGGGCACTGTCTTTCCATACTTCCATAACTATCATTTTCTGAAAAGAACTATTCACAGGATATTCATATATTTTCCTACTTATATAATTATTTTAATTACTCTTATCTTTTCTATGCCAAGAGTCTCCACTGCAGCTAAGAATGAAGAATTTAGCTACTTGATCACTCATTTGCAATTTATTGTCCATGCTTCAAGAAATTTTCCCAGTTTATATATGGGAATTTTGTTAATTTATTGATCCAAGGTAATGTGCTGGCTAAAGGAAGCTAGCTTTAAATATGGGCTGTCGATATTTGATCAATACATAGTCTTGTATTGATCTGAAGGAAAAGGATGTAGGCAAAACAGTACCATCTAATACAGATTGCCAATTAGTGTAATTAAACATTATGTTATACAGGGTGGGACCTGACATCAAAGGAAGTACTATGACCACTATTCTATCTAGCTGTGTGTATGTGTGTTGCTTTTTTTCGTTGTTCTGTTTAATTAAAGGCAAAAAAGTATTATATCACTGTTCTAAAGATTACAATGCTATATTACTATCAGCAAGGTAATGTTTCAGCCACTGAAACTAAGTTGATGAGATTTTTGCTTAAGGATATGAAGCTCTCTGAGTATAAGAATGTAAGAGCTCAATTTATAAGAGTGATGCTCCATGGTCTAAACACAAGTGTTCTCTTGTGCTTAAAATCTTATCTTCTATCTATAAAGTTCTCAGGAGAAACAGCTAGCTAAAATGCTGATTAAAGCTTAACTAGCACTGAAGAATTTAAGGCCTCCCTAATTCTTGCTCCAACCAGGGTATGATAAAGCAATTTCAGAAATAAAGCATCATAGTCTTAATTCCAATTTACAGAAAGACTGAGTTTCTTCCCGTAAGAGTGGTCTCTGCAGAAATCCTTTTAACCAAACCAATTATTTTCTCAATATTTTGCTCCCCTTAGAAGAACATTTCCAATGGCTAAATTTATTATTTTGCCATTTATAGTTCAATACGGAAGTATATTCATATGCCTTTATGCTCCTGCTCATTTTTCATGTTTTGTTGTGTTGTCCCATGTTTAATCTAACCTCTATTTAACAATACTCTTGTTAACATCTGGACCAAACAGATGAGGAAAATCTGCTTTTTTCTTCCAGGAAATCTGCCTACAGAAATAAGCAGGAGTGTTGCCAAATTTTGTTTAATAGCAATTACTGTGAGTATATAGATCTAATTTTGGAATGGTCAATCTGTAAGTTACATTTGAGATCTGATTTAACTGTACTAGATATTTGTTTTACCAATTACCTTATATCTTGCTTTCTTGCTTTTTTTCCTTTTTTTTTATTAGAAAGTTTTAAAGAATTTTACAAATGTTTTTCCATCCCACCTCCCACCTCCCTCCCCAACTCTCCCCCCCCTCGACTTCCCAGAGCAAAATACAGGGTATAGCATTTGACAATCATATACTAACATATGCTAACTATCTATAGACTCCTATCTCCCTCTTGTACTTTTAACTCCCCTTTTACATGACTAAATTTAAATACTTCCTAAAGTCTTTTTATTCATTCATAAAATATTTGAAACTTCTTAATCCCATATTTGTTTTGAATATAGTCAATCCATCTTCTCCATTCCAAAATATATCTTTCATTTGAATGGTCCTTCAAATACGCTGAAATTTTGGCCATCTCTGCTAAAATCATTACTTTTAGTGTCCATTCTTCAATAGTAGGCAAATCTTCCTTATTCCAATTCTGCAGCACCAAAAGTCTTGCTGCAGTTATTAAATTTAAAATCAAATTAGTCTCTATAACCGTACAATCTGTAATTATACTCAGCAAAAACAGCTGTGGAGTAAACTTTATCTTCTTTTTAAGAATATTTTGCGTAAGCCACCATATTTTTATCAAAAATGCTTTGATTTTTTTACATGTCCACCATATATGATAATAAGTGGCATCATCACACTCACATCTCCAACACTTGGATTGCAAGCTTGTATACATACAAGCTAACTTTTTAGGATCTAGATGCCATCTATAAAACATTTTGTAAAAATTTTCTCTCAAATTTTGGGCTTATGTAAATTTTACATTTCTAACCCATATTTTCTCCCATGTTTCCATCATTATTGGCTCCTCAATATTTTATGCCCATTTTATCATACAATCTTTAACTAACTCCGTTTCTGAATCTATTTCTATCAATATGTTATACAACCTTTTTATATGCATTTGGCTCTGATTTCGGATTTGTTTTACCAAGTTTTCCTCATTTTGCATGATGCCAATTTTCTGATCCTCTTTCCATCTAGCTTGTAGCTGTCCATACTGAAACCAAGTTTGAATTATCCTTTCTTCTTTTAATACATTCAAAGACTTTAATTGTAATGTACCTCTTTCCCTTGCTTTCTTTTATTCAAAGTTTAATTATGAATAATGATTATGACTGTGCCAAATATTAATTTAATATTAATATTAATTAATTTTGGAGAACTGCTTTTTTCAGGAGTTGAGTGGCCCACACTGGCTGAATGAATGAATGAACACATATATAAATATATTGATAGTATGCCAATTCTTAAGGAGAACAGGATTGGTGAATACACGAGAATAAGTCAGTCACCCGAGCAGTAGATAGGCAACAGGACAGTTTTAAGAATGGCAGATCATTACATGAGATTTCTTCAAATATGTCTAGCTATCACAGAAATTTTGGAACATGAGGGCAACCTTAAACATACAGAAAAGGTATTATTTTATCATTTTTTTTCTAGCAACATCTTCATTTTAATACTGCTGACGTCTTGTATTTCTCTGTGATGTTTCTAGGAAAGTAACAATGGCATAATGGACTGAATTTGTGAAAATAAGTCTCAGTGTGCTTTGCAATAAATGAAGTTACACTGTACATGTACAATACATCAATAAAAATCATGGGTTTTGAGTTTTGTTTTTATTACTATATCGACCACACAGCCCAGTTTCTCAGAATTTAAAACTTGGCAGTTTCTAAAATAAAAATAGTTTTATGGAAGTAAAACAAGGGAAATTGTTTACTTTAGAAATATTTCCAGCATTTGTCTCATTTTATTGAGAACCACATTATCACTATGCAGTATAATGAATGCAACAACTCATTAATTACAGAACAGGTTAATAATTGCATTAAATTGAGGAATAATATCCATAATATCCTAAATATTGCACCTTTAATACCAGAGAATTTCAATTAAATTGTCTTCAGCAATATGCTTCAAATATATTTTGAAGAAAAAATAGAACCCTTCTCCTAGTTAGTATCTTAGATACTATACTGCACTTGCTTTCTCATTTGTATACAGACAGATACGCAAACACTTATAGACATACAGTATGCATATATGCAATAGAGTCATCCATTCATCCATGCATTAATGATGATGAAGCCAAGAAATCTGGCAAATACCTGAAGTGAATTACATCCTAGGATTTCTTTATAACACAAAATAATAGCAGACATGTTCAAGTTAATGTTAATGTTAGGCAAGATTCTTAAATACAGTAAAATTTTTATTATATAGAAATAAGACTAAATGTTTTTAACTGTCTCAAAAGAACATTTTTTTCCCCTTTTCTTAGATCATAGTTTTTTCCAGGCTTTTCATGCTTGTAATACTGAAATTGAATCATCATTATATTTTAATATTAAATTTGAAATTAATGGAATGGAGAACATAAAAATTAAAACTCTATGCACAGCACAAACCAATAAAATGTAATGGTGTAAAAAACTCTAAAATAATAAATTGTTCCAATAATTTAGAAAAGGGCAATAAAATAAGAACGTTTTTAATTAACCCAACCTCAATAATGAAAATCATGAAATTAATTTCTGATTTCAGAAATAAATAAATCTATAATATGTTCATTCATGGTAGTAAAAATGAAAACATTTCATTTTCATTAACTATTCAAGTTAATATGTATGTAACCAAGGAAGCTATATTAAGGCTGCATTGCAAAACATGTTTTTTTAAAGATTTTTTTAAAAATGAATCTAGCAGAATATACTTTTAACTAGATTCTAATGTGAGTGCTATTATATGATCACAAAAATATAAACACTATTAGAATTGCTCATCATAACTGTGCAAAAAAATTAGAGGGGAGGAACAGCATGAAGCTGAGGTTATGTTCAATTTATACAACTGATATAAAGGACTTAGAGGAAAAAAAGTGCAAGCTTTGGTGAAAATATTAACATTAGTGTTGGATTATAATAAAATTCTTTGTGGTGCAGACCTTGTAAATAGTCCAAAAATTGCAGGTAACCCAGAATGTGAGATCACAGATGTGAGTGACATTTCTTGAAGTTCCCAAACAGGACCCAGTTGTCTTCAAGCTCAGTTAAGTATTAGGAAATGACTTATATACTCTAGAAACATAGTTTAAAATAGCGCTTGCAAGATTACCTATTTCTATATAATCTATCCCAAACTGCTGGATCAACATATTTTGATCAACAGATTATAGTGCTGACAAAGTGACTTCTTAACAATTGGTTTCAGAATTTGTCTAGATCATATCAATCCTTGTTAATGATAAGAACAACAATTGTTGGACAGTTGCCCTTCTGCAGTTCTCTGGCATTATGTATATTCTGCATAAAAGAGGGTCTTTGATGACATCTACAAGTTCTTTCAAGGCTGGTCCTGGAGATTTAAAGAC